CCACCGTTGCATCCATAAACAGCAAACACACACACACATACACACATAACAATAATCATGTCAAAATTATCATTTCGAGCGCGTGCGCTCGATCCCTCCAAGCAGATGCCCATCTACTTGGCGGAGGAGCTGCCAGATTTGCCAGAGTATTCGGCGATAAATCGTGCGGTGCCGCAAATGCCCAGTGGCATGGAGAAGGAGGAGGAGTCGGTAAGTTTACGTGATTACAAACATATAAATGTACATAGTATATACTTATTTGCATAAATAAAGTTGTGGTCGAAGAAAGAAAAGTAAAGCTATGTGCATACCTCGCGTGGGGCCGAAGGGAAAGAGGCAAAACGAATGCATTCAATTTCGTCGAATAACCACAAACTAAAAAGAAACTGCTCGAAAAGTAAACCAAGAACTGCAAATTCACATGTTTACTTGCAAGTATGGGTGTGTATGTAGATATGTTTGTTGCCATTTACTCGTTCTGCACCATCATTAAAGCATTAGTCAGTAAGCGTCGACAGAGGGTAAATGTTTTTGTTGTCACAATTGGATTTCGTTATAAAAAAAATGGTTTTATTCTTATTCTATTTTTCCTTGGCAGAATTCTCGTTTGCGGTTTTTACGCACTTGCAATTTGGCATTTGTTTTGTTTTGTTGTTTTTTTTTTACAATAGGACTGTTTTAAGAAGGTAACTTTCGCAACAAACCAGAAGATAATTTATGCAGGCCTTTTTAGGTAAAGCCATCCTAAGACGCCTCTCCAAGAAGGGCTGAAAAAAGGGCTTCTTTGAATACCTTCTAGAAGGGCTCATCCATTTACAATTTACGCGACATAAATTTACAATATTTAGCATTACAAATTAATTTCAATAAACATTTTAAGTAGCAATAACACATATTTTATATAAACCTTGATGTAGGATTTTTATAAATTAAAGAAGCAACTTTAAAAGAACTCCTCCAAAAGGCCTTCCGAAGTATGTCCTATAAGAGCTTTTCAAGGAAGGTCTTCCATGGGTAGCGAAAGAAGAAGCCGGAAGTTTGTGCCATTCCATACAAAATAGAAAGGAGAAAGGAATACAGAGTGTAAGGCTTCTTGACTCTCAGGAAGGCCTTTCGGAAGGGCTTTTAACTCCCGAAATTATCTACTGGGAAGGCAAGTGTCTAAGGTGCAAGTACGAATGTACATATATCAAACCAAGAAGCGGTATAAGAAAACAGCCTCCGCTTTTAAGGAATTTCAAAGACGTTTCGGTCCGTTTTTAATAGAGAAAATAAATTTAAAATTTTGATTGTATTGCTTCTGCGTATGGGTAAGTCGTGGATTTTTTTTTAGATACATACCCTGAAAACCAAAGTTCCCGAAGTCTTATTGAACATATTCGCAGCAGGAAGAACTTCATCGGAATAAAATTCGCCATTAGAGATGTTCGATCGCAATAATGTGAAACATAAAAACATAGACATTTCGCAATTTGTTATTTTAGGACATTGGTTTTTGCTGTT